CACCTGTAATCCTAGCTACTCAGGAGGCTGAGACCTGAAGATCGCTGTTCAAAGCCAGACCAGGCAGGAAAGTCCGTGAGACTCTTATCTCAATAAACCATCAGAAAACCTGAAGTGGCCTGTAGCTCAAGTGGTAGAGTGCTTGCCTTGAGCTGAAGAGCTGAGGGACAGTGCCCAGGCCCAGAGTTCAAGCTCCACGACTGACAAAAAACAAAACAAAACAAAACTGGCTCTCTACATACAGAAGACTGGAACTAGACCCATCTCTTAACCATGTGCAAGAATCCAACTCCAAATGGATCAAAGATCTTACTGTCACATTTAAAACTATTCCAGGAAAACACAGAGAAAACTCTAGAAGGTATAGGCACAGGTAATTATTTTTTGAGTAAGACTCAAGTGTCTAGAAAAATAAGAGTAAGAATTGATAAGTAGGATGTCATCAAATAAAGTTTTATCACCTCAAAAGAAACAAATTACCAGAATCAAGAGACAACTCACAGGGAGAGGGAGAAACTCAAAGTTGTAACTGGGGTAATAGAGGCCCCTTAGCAGCTTTATGATATTCTTTCACCCAGCAGTTGTGTGGCTTTGGGGTTTTTCAGTGCCTCAGAAAAGCTGCAAAATCATCTGAGAAAATCATTAGAATCTGAGAAAAAATACCAAAACCTCATCTACAAATAGTAATCCTGACGGCAGCTCTTCCTTATTGGGGGGGGGGACTATCAATTAAATAATATTTTCTATAAAGCATCAAATCCAGTATTAGGATAGTGCCCTGTAATACTAGTTCTTGATAATAATGGCACCATTCTTTTACAGAAAGTGAAGCCCAATGTTGCAAATCTGAAACATTTAGTAATTACTTTGTCATCAATTTTACCATGTAGTTGAGATACTGTATTGCGAAGTACTGTGAATCTTTCACATGATCGCCATGTGTTGGGTACTTACTATGAGTAAACAGGTTTCCATGTGTAAATGAATTAGTTATAAATATTTTTACATATTAACATAATCTGTATCAAGATATAGCTTTTGTCTTTGAGCAGTTTAAAATATTGTAAATAATAGTCATGGATACAGACACACACACACACACACACACACACATGTGCATACTTTGGTGCGGGGGTTTGAACTCAGGGCTTTGAGCTTGCTATGTAAGTACCCAAACACTTCAGCCACACCCATGGCTACTTTTTTTTGGTACCAGTATTGAAGCTTGAACTCAGGGCCTCCTGCCCTTGCCCGCTTTTTCTCTCAAGGCTGGTACACTTGTGCCATGCCTCTACTTCCAACTTTTTGCTAGTTAATTAGACTGAAGCATCCTGGGGATTTTCGGTGCTTGAGTTGGTTTTGAACCTTGCTACTCAGATCTCAGCTTCCTGAGTAGCTAAGATTACTGGTGTGATAAAGTTTTGGGGATCATCATTGTTTTAAGCCAATTGCACACATTTAATAACATTAGACAAAATTTAATATAGTTCTGTCATTTTTTAAAGCAATCTCAGGCCTAAATTTTTATACATTAGAGCTTATTGTTTTCACACCCTGCCTCATTCACCCAGCTGTCAACATGTCCCACAGGTAGCATTCCAGCTACCCGTGTCCACTTACCTCCTTTCCCGCCAGTTACCAGTCACAAAGTTGTAACAGTGCATTTGTATGTTGCTGTATAGAAGGCAATTTTTAAAATTTTCCCCAAGATTATTTGAAAACAATTGCTTGGAAACAGCTTGTGTTTGGGTGTGAGAAAGCTTAGAATCTCGGTTCTGTAGTTTGGATGTAGACGACCACGTGTAAAAAACTTGGTCCCCAGCCAGTACTGTTGAGAGGTGCACCATACCTACTTTTCAGAGGAAGGGCCTCGTGAGAGGTCCTAAGGTCACTGCTAGCAGGCCCCTGATGGGGTTTTAGGGCCCTAGCCCATCCTCTGCTTTGCTTTCTGACCATGAAGTAAATAGTTTGTTCCATTACATTCTCCGCTTCATTACCATCTGCCCACCCCCCACCTTACAAGAAGCTCTAATCCATGGTTCTACCCAATCTTAAACAGAAATATTCTACTAAACAGAAATCTTTTTATTTTCCTTTATTTATTTTGTTATACAAAGGATTTTTTTTGCCGGGGTGGAGGGGAGGGGATGGGTAATGGTGGCACTGATGGCGATTGAACTCAGAGCCTCAAATGTACTAAGCAGGTGCTCTACCATTTGCACCATAACCTGTCTTTTTTGCTTTTATTTTTCCGATAGGATTGTGGCTGGTCTAGAATTGCAATTTTCTCTTCTCTAAATTATTGGGATGACAGGCATGTACCACCACTGTTTCCAACTTTTTTTTTGTCAGTCATGGGACTTGAACTCTAGGCCTGGGTGCTATCCCTTGGCTCTTCAGCTCAAGGCTAATGCTCTACCACTTGAGCCACAGCACCACACTCAGTTTTCTGGTGGTTAATTGGAGATAAGAGTCTCATGGACTTTCCTGCCCAGGCTGGCTTTGAACCACAATCCTGAGTAGCTGGAATTACAGGCGTGAGCCACTGACACCCGGCTACCAACTTTTTTTTTTTTTTTGAGACAGGGTCTTGCTGGTTGGCTTTGGACTTCAGATTCTCTCACGTCCACCTCTGAAGTGCTGGGATTATAGCAAGTGCTACCACATACAAACTGCCCAGCTTTCTTTCTCCTCTTCCGCCTCCTTTTTTTTTTTTTTTTAAAGATTTTTCTGCTATGTTTGTTGTCCAAGTTGGCCTTAAACTCACGATTCTCCCACCTTAGTCTTCAAAGTAACTCATATTACTGTAGCCAGCTAAACCTTCTCTTTTTATAAGTTGACTACCAAGTCTTCCATCTGGTCTAGGACATTGACTCTTAACCTGGACTAATTTTTTTTAGACAATATTCTTGTTGATTTTTTAACAGGTATATTGTACTTTTACTTCAGTTTACTTGAAGCAAGGATCAAATAAAGGATGTTACAGACAAGAAGGTTGTAGCTCCTTCTTACCATCCCTGCCTCTTGAGCAGAGGAAAGAACTCTAACAGTCACCCTATTACCAGGTGACTCTGTTCTGGTGCAGTTTCCTGTCAGCGCTCCCTCTCCCTTGCTAATATTTCTCTTTTCCACCACATCCCATTACGGTTTCCTTAAAATATCGCCTTAGTTTCCTTCTTTCCCACTTCTTCCCCTCTAATCCAGCTTCTCAGCAGCGTCTCCAGACATCCATTATACAGATTAATTGGCTGTAATTACCGCTGTCAGCGAGTCACGCCTCTTCTGTAAAGCTGCCAGGAGTTCCCTTCTCCTAGGCAACAATGGAGCCCCGCTTCACTGCTGATCCCCAGCCTCTTTTCTTCCCATGAGCCCCCACAAACCCCAAAGTCTTCTTGGTTTCTCCCACTAGTCTGCCATCTTTCTTGTATCGCTTTGCTTTGCCCAGCTGCCTAACTGTGAACTCTCTCTGCCTATTCTCCAGGCCGAGTCCAGCCCCCCACCATACCCAGCCTTCTTGGCGTTTCCTTAGTTTGTTAACCCACTGACCACTCTTCACTCCCTAATTTCTTGTTAGGCTCTGATGTGTGGCAGTGAACACAAGGTTCTCCCTAAAATGGTTCTCTGGGTTTTCTTGGAATGACACTGTCTTCTCCCAATTTTATATACAAACATCTGTGTGTGTGTGTGTGTGTGTGTGTATGCATGTGCATACGTGCATGAATATATTGTTAGGATCAAGCCCAGGGTCTCAAGCATACTAGGAAGTCAATTGTGTTTACTGTTATTCAAACACAAGACTTATGTTTATATTTTTCTGATATACTCCATTTGCCTCCTTTGTACTTATTAAGAGTCTGTAGGCCCTTTGCAAGATAACATCCAGATCCTGCTGACATCTTAGATCAGGATGCGTTGTTAGAATTGTCACCCAGGAAGTGGTGCTGTGGCTTAAGTGGTAGGGTGCTTGCCTTGAGCTAAAGAGCTGAGGGACAGCGCCCAGGCCCAGAGTTCAAGCCCCATGACCAACCAAAAAAAAAAAGTTTAAGAAGTGGTGCTGTGGCTCAAGTGATAGAGTGTGCTAGCCTTGAGCTGAAGAATTGTCACACAGTGCTCCACTGACCCCCTGATGGTGAGGAGACCCCAGATTGTGAATGGTCTCCAGGTAGTCTTGCGGGGTGGTGGAGGGAAGGCATATGGTACTCATACTAAGCGTTAGGTTTGAGTGGGGGTCAGTGCCTGGGTGGCAGGGAGGGAGAAGTTCCCACTGAGAGCTGCACACCTGCCTTTCAGGTATTGCAGTAGGTGATAATTACTCAAGAACAGATCGGCAGAGCATTACCCTCATGTCCCTGGCAGACGCCACGGACTTCAGTGTGAAATGTGAACTGGCTTGGCTTCTCTCCCACTTTTTGTCCTTCAGCCATGAATGACCTCTGTGCTGTCGTCCTAAAATCCTAGCACAATGTCCTAAGACTTCATGTGACCTCCAAACCATTTTTTGAGACTCCAGTAGGTACCGTATTTCCCCCCATTTCTGGTTTAGGGGAAAGGAGTGAATGTTGTTTAAAGACAGCTGATCTTTCAAAACTTCTCAAGCCCATTTTCCCTGCCTTGCTGCCTTTCCCGAGACTCCTTTCTGAGCCCAGACAACTACAGAGATGTACTTTGGACTATGTTCTTCTCCCAAGGCACAACCTCTACAAAATTGCCTCTGCTGAAGGCTCATAAACCGAGAATTATATTTTCTTTAATGTCAGCAGAACTAATTCCACCCATACAAAATGGCTTGGCCTCCTTCCTTCCTTGGCATGGAAGAGTATTGGCAGAGACTCAAATAGAGATGAAGTGCCGCGGTGAGTTGGTGGCTCTGGGCTCTTATTCCCCGTGGTCATCCCTGTCCAAATGTAAAGTAAAGACGTTGGGGGTTGTGCTTTCTTAATGTCTCCATTTACATCAAGTCACCCAACTGGAATCACTTTAATGCTTTCGATTCTTTTTAGGTGGATGGAAGTCTGCTTAGTTGAAGAATTGCCACCAACCACTGAACTGGAAGAAGGGCTCCGGAATGGAGTTTATCTTGCAAAGTTAGCCAAGTTCTTTGCCCCGAAAATGGTATCAGAGAAAAAGATCTACGATGTGGAACAAACACGTTATAAGGTAACCAGGAGGTAATTGGTTTGGGCTTCGAGCTGAAAGTGTAAGCTTGATATTTCATTTCCTTTTTTGCCCTCTTTTTATTGCTACTGTTTCTATAATGAGTTGGGCTATGGTGGGGGAAAGTGCTACCCTTGGTCTGGGAGCCTGTTAGCAATCATTCCTGAGGCTGCATCAGTTTTTAAAAAAGCAAAGTGTTTCCATTTCCTGACCCAGGCTGAGAGACCTCTGATGTTTGGGGTTTTGCTTATGTCGCCCTCATGTTTTCTTCCTGGAGGTCATTTGTGACTTTATGATGGCCAGTAATTGTGAAAGTAGGAACATGGGATGCCTTCTTTTTTTCCCTTCCTTAAACTACCCACTCAGTTTATTACTCCTTAAGTTCTTGTCAAGGAAGAAAATACTCAGCTGAGACTTGAACCTGTGGGCCCCAAGAATTAAGGGCAATGAGGTAATGTTCAAATAAGAATTCTCCATTTGCTGTTTCAAAGTGAGACTAACCTTTTTGTATTATGAATGGTTTTATGGCTACCACCACCACCACTATTATTTAAATTTGGAAGGAGCTGGGGGTCTTAAATACAATCATAATAAATTCACAAGAAAAAGTCCTGATCTCCTAAAGAGATGTTTTATAATTGTACAAATAAAATGTTATTTCACTTTAACCTAATGGAAGGAAAATGTATATAGATGATACAGAACTAGCCTTGAGTTCGTAAGTAGTGAAGTTGGATGATGGGTACATAGGAATTGGTTATATTACACTGCCGCCTTTTTTATGTTTGAAATTTTCCACTAAAAAGTGAGCGAGGGAAACACTGATACCAGCCTACAAGGCTTCTGCCTTAGTGACGTCTCTTTAGAAGGGAATTTAAAATGCATGGTGTTCTATTCTGAATGTGTGATCTCTTGTTTACTACAGACTACTACAGACCAAGAGTGCTAAAGCCTGCTTGAAACTTGATTTTATTTTTTTCATGCGTTTAAGGGTTGTGGTGGCAATTGCTGCTTTGGTTGATTTATGGTGATAGCGATCAAAACCACGATCTTGCATATACTAGGCAAATGCCCCACCAATGAATTTCACCCTCAGCCCATATTTAGTACTTTATATCAAGTGTGTGTGTGTGTGTGTGTGTGTGTGTGTGTGTGTGTGTGTGTGTACTGGGACTTCAACTTAAAGCCTGAATACTGTTTCTTAGCTTTTTGGCTCAAGCCTAGTACTCTACCATTTGAGCCACAGCTCTACTTTCAGCTTTTTTTGGTGGTAAATTGAAGCTAAATGTCTCTTGGACTTTCCTACTTGGGATAACTTCAATCCTCAGATCTCAGCCTCCAGAATTGTGAGGGTTATAGGCATGTACCACTGGTGCCTGGCTTTATATCAATATTTTTTATCTGTAACTCTTTAAAAGTTACTTGTCTTACACTAAATATTGTTTCTCTTAGAGTTTCAGGGAGACAATATGGGAAATAATTGAAATAGAAAGAGTGGGAAATATATTTTAGAGAACATATTTTAAAATGCATATAATGAATTCAGATCAAATGTTCACATAATCATTAAGGCTCAACAGTAGATAGTCACTTGACAGATCTCTTTGGGAATGATGTTCATTGCCAAGAAAAAAAAAACAATAACTAAGCACAAGTTTGTGCCTTGATTATTTCAGGAATATGTGCTGGTGTTTGTTAAAGGAAGTTTGGATTCATGATGTCATATTCCTCCCCAAATCCTATTCCTTATAGCCTTTCGCAATACTTTACTAAGACAGTGTTCTAGGAAGCCAGAATTCAAGCTTAAAAAGTTGTGGGAAATAATTTTAGGAGAATGGAGAAGCACAGGAAAATAAAAACAACTCTATCACTACACACAAAATAAACATGTAACCACATTTTAGATTTTGGTTCCTCTTCCTCCTCCACCTCTTTCTCCTCCACTTCTTCCTCCTCCCTTTTCTTCTCCTTCTTTTCCTCAATGTTCCTATGATGGTTATTATTAAGATCCTGATCTGTTTTTGCCTGTGTGGATTTGCTGATAAGTATAGTTGGGCTTGGTGTTGGCCTGATCTGGAAGGGGAAATTAGACATTTCTCTTTGACTTTGGGAGCTGGTTCTCTTCTCCCTCAGATCATCCAAGACCTTGGGTATCAGTGTCTCCTTCCAGATCATCTCTGAACTCCCATGACAGTTTCCCCAAGGCTACTGGAGCTGGGGGCATCCTTTGGGATCACGTGCTTAAATGAACATCAGCCTCTCTTGGGGCTGGATCTGACAGGGAACCTAATAGTCTTGATGCCTTATTGAAAGAAAATACCTGCAGGACACAGGCAGGTGGTGACACCCCTGAGCAAAGCAACACAGAGGAGAGAAGCATTCTGTACGGCAGTCCCCTACCCCTATCCCACCAGGCCTTTGGAAGTCTGGACTACACACATGCCATGTGGGTGAGGGCCAGGGGGAGGGAGATGGCAGAAGGAGGGGGGCTGTTGCCAGCTGTGGCGTGGGAGCTCCTCCATGCTGTGGAGCTGCCAGAAAAACACAGGACAAATGGAATCTACCCTTCCATCCCATCGCTGGAGAACAGAGCTTTCTCTCTACTTTTATTAAGCCCTTGAAAGTGCCCAGTGTTCTGGATAGAAATGTTTAGTCGTTTGCCCTGTGATTGTAAAATTTTTATTTTAGCTCTTTGATTTTGCTGAACTTTGTGTGCGGGGTGAGGTCAAGGGGCAAGGGGTCAGCGAATGAAGTGGAGAAGAGGGGGAGAGTGCAGTCAAGAGCCAATGTATATCCTGCAAAATTAAGAAGAGTGAGAGAAGGTATGGGGAGGGGACGGATGGGTGAGAACGTGGTGACATGGATCAAGATATATGCAAGATGTATTGATAGGTTTATGAATACATAAGTGTATGAATGCTTTGTTAAAATGCCTGCTCCTTTGTAAAACTACTTAAAGATAATAATACTAAAATAAACTTTTAAAAAACTGGGGCTGGGAAGGTGGCTCAGTGGTAGAATGCTTGCCTTGTTGTACGCATGAGGCCCTGGGTTCGATTCCTCAGTACCACATACACAGAAAAAGCCAGAAGTGGTGCTGTGGCTCAAGTGGTGGAGCACTAAGCCTTGAGCTGAAGAGCTGAGGGACAGCTCCCAGGCCCAGAGTACAAGCCCCACGACTGGAAACAAACAAACAAACAAAAAACAACCTTTAGGGCTTTTTCATTTCTTATATAAAAATGAAAAGAGACCAACCTTTATGAATTAGCACTTTAGCTTCCTATTCTCATGTTCTTCAGGGCTAACATATCACATGACCCCTTTCTAAGGAATCCTAAGTCACGGGACTGAAGCAGGGATGTTGAGAAAGACAATGAACACCAGCCTGGGCCCAGCCCTTGAAATGCCATCTGGAAACAATGAGTTAGTGAACTTAGGCTCTTGTTACGGGATCTGTTTAGGCTGCAGCAGTAAAGCATGACCCTCCTGTTGGACACAGTGTCCCCACTGCAACGCCATGTCCCTGAGCCCTGAAGGACACATTCATAGCTATCAATTGGCAAATACAAATTTGCTGTTACCCCATCTCTTTTTGTTGCCCAATCAGTGTAAGCCCTGTTCCCTCTAACCCCTAAATCGAGCTAGAAAGTTCCTAGGTATTGTAGCTAAGTGTTCTTTCCATGGCCAGGTGTGAGCACATGACCATGCCAGGCGCACCTGACACCCAGCACTGTCTCTCTCACACATGAGGCAGAGGGAAGATTGTTTTATCTTGTAGGCAAGAACCACATAGGCTCTCTCTTCTCTGTCTTCAGGGAATGCTGCAGGGGCTGGACCTTGGCCAGTGCTTGGGAAATGGTTAGGTAAGGGAAAGGAAAACAATAGTTTCCAATATGCAGAGGCCGTCATTGTTTTCTATCTTCTCTGTTTGGGTAGATACCCATTTTAGGTGCTTAGACAGAGGTTGACGTTCTTCCTGAGTGTGCCGCTCAGGTCTCCTTCAGGGCCACCTGGTATATAAAACCTGTGTCCTTGCCTCACTAAGTCAGTCAGGATCCCCTGGCCTGGGACCCAGAAGTTCTAATGATAATAGTTCACACCTGAGGTAGATTCTTTGTTTAGGTTCTACTAAGATTTGAGACCATTTCTTTAACAGATAAGCACTCGTAGACTAAACCATAACAGTATTATAGGGAAAGGAATAGAGTGATACCATGGTAGAAATACATCGATTGACATCTTAACCTGAAAAATCAGAAAGTAGAAATGCTCTGAAATCTGAAATCTTGAGCACCAGCAATGTTCAAAGTGATTTGGATTTGTAAGCATTTTGGATTTTAGATTGGGAGATTAGAGATGTTCTTAGGTTTTTTGTGCTTTGTTTTGTTTTGTTTTGCTCCAGGGTCTTGCTCTATAGCTCAGGCTGGCTGGAACTCATGATCTTCCTGCCTTCACTTAATGAGTTCTGGGTTGAGAGGCATGTACTGCCATGCATAGCCTCAGCTAGTAAAATCTATACAAATACTGTAAAATTCCAAAAATTTTGAAATCTGAAATACTTTTGATCCCAAGAATGTCAGATCAAGAATATATACAATATATGTATTATATTTTATATATACATATGTGTGTACACACACACACATATGCACATATATTTCTTCCATACAAACACCTGCACTATGCCAGGCACTGTCTGGGCACTAATAGAATGGTCCTGATGTTATTGTATTTGTAGCTGAAGAGACAGACCATAAGTAAAAAGCTATGACTAGTGATGGGCATATGAAGGGAAGGTGGCATTCAGCATTACTGATAGCTAGCAATGGCAGGGATGGGCTGTGAGGAGGTTGACTCTGGGGCTGGAAAGGTAAGAAAACCATCTACCCACAGGCAGGGTAGGGAGTGAGAAGAACATTCAGGAGGTGTCAGGTGGTGAGATTCCAGGAAGACAAGAGCTTGACCACACCTGCAGAGCTGAATAGCTATGACAAGGAACAGTG